ATTATCACCTGCGGCTAAAACAGGCGTTAATTATGTTTTACAAATAGTTTGAAGAATAAAAACAAACCCAAATCAGCACAAACGTTACAGAATTTCTGCCATTTGTCGGTGACTTGAGCCTCGTCGAGGTTGTCGGGTAAACTACGCCGTCAGAAAGTGTGTCTTTAGGTTCTGAACTTATCAGGATTCAAAGAGCTGAGCTAAAAAAAGAAAAAGAGAAAAAGAGCGAACAGAAGACGTTTGTGCCTCTGCAGCGGCTGTGTGTCCACTCAGACGGACGAGGCTTTATTTGGCCTCTCGGGTGGAAACTCTTACGATCGGGTCGAAGCTCAGCGGCTGAGGGAAGAGCGCAGAGCATCATGGGAAACAGAACGAGCGCAGAGCATCATGGGAAACAGAACGAGCGCAGCGCCGTCCTGACGAGAGACCAAACCGTTCTGTTTGGGTCAGGGCTTTGAATTCCGCTGCACCACCCCGCCTGGACTGGACTGAGCTGCACAGTTTGATTCCCTCCATCCTTCTAACACACACACACACACACACACACACACACACACCTCCTCCTGACCTTAGCCCACCCCTCCTCTCATGCTCTCCCACCCTCAGGGGTTTTAGACGATCCAGACAAATGAGTTGAGACGGCAGCGGAGCGTAACGAGCCAGCGTCAGGCAGCAGATCCCACTAATCACATGAAACAACCGCAGAACGGCCGGAGGCGGAGAGGTTTCTCCTTCACACACACCGTCTCACACACACACACCGTCTCACACACACACCGTCTCACACACACCATCGCTCTGGTTTGTGACAGCTGGCAGGTTAGTGTCGGCGGGGTCGCAGGAACTCTGCGGCCCGGGTTCGTTGGAGGAAATTATCCACCTGGAAGTTCAAAACGAGCAGAACAGAAATCTGCAACAAACATTTTCACTTTAAAAGGTTAAAAATGTGATAAATAAAAACATAAAAATGAACTCTGCACCGATAAAAAAAATTAATTTGTTTTTTAAAAAATCCAAACATTTGCTGCTTGAGATTTAGATTTCGTACAAATATTTTTTTTTTATTATTTATGCACCATTAGGCAAATTACATCTTTATTAAATGTGTCAATCATTCCCAAATTATTTGTTTTATAGGATTAAAATCATTTATATTTTTAAATAGTTATAATCAGAAATATTATGATTTTTTTAAATTAAATTATAATTACTTGCAGCCGAGCTTTCAATGAAGAACATTATATTTTGAAAACTTTACATTTTTTAGGCAAGTCTTCTTGGAATGACTCTCAGCTACTACCACAACAAATTTCAGTCCATTTTCTGTAAAACTGACTGTATTGCAGCCTACTTTTTGTTTTCTAAGGCGAGTTAGCTGTGGCAGCCATCTTGAAGTGGGCTGACTCTAAAAGTTGATCACTTACAGATGTGCATCTAAAGATTATTTCCTGAAACTTTAAACAAAACGTGCTGAGCGGTTCATGAGATATTTTGCTAACAGACAACTTTTACTAAGCTGGATCAAACAAAAGCAGCAGATATCGCTTCTAAAGTTATTTTAACGTTACTTTATTGTTTTTTATGAGCTTTGAAATTTTTTTTTTACTTAAAAGCTGAACTTTTCCTTTCTTTATTTTGTTGTACTGCTGACAGGAAGTCTCCTTTGAAGAATAAATTATAATCCTGTTCCCTTTATGAAAATAAAACTCTGTTTAACCAGATTAATAACATTTACCCTGAGCAGGCTCAATTCAAGGAAACAAAAATGACCATAAATAGCTTTAAATTAGGACTTCAAGCAGCAAAGGCTTTAATTATTAATCCTAAAATTAATCATAAATGTTTAGTTTTAACCAAAAACTAAAATACGTGCAGGATATAAGTTTGGTATTTTATTGATTAAAGACTCTAGTTGCACTAGAAGTGAAAAATAATCTCATATTTTTGGATTTCCTGGTTCACCTAAACACGTCAAGCTCATCTGAGTTTACTTAAAGAATTCTTTTACATAAAAACTGCAAACTTCCTGCGCAAAGAATCCATCTGCTAAAAACAACACACACACACACACACACCGTCCTCCACAGATCAGCTCAAGGTCACACAGGTCAAACGGCCACAGAGGTTAAAGACTGTGTTTTAAAAAATGTTAACAGGAGAGGCAGGACCGCCGAACAGCCGGCGCTAATTTAACACCTCAGCTCACTTTTTGTACCCCTGAATGACCAGAAGGCAACAACACCCACCACGTCCAAACTGGGAGACGGGAGGAAAAAGTGACACGCAGGAAATGATGTCAGAAAGTCAACAGAAAAAAGTGGGAACTGGTCTAAGGAAACCTCTCGTAAACCCACTGGAACTGCAGCTCAGCCCACACCTTATAGACCTCGACGCTGTACGGAGACTTGGGATTACAGGAACGGCTCTAAAACGGTTTAAATTATATTTCTCTGTTTGCTCATTTTAATAATGAATCTTCTTCAAAACACCAGTTAGTTAGGGAGTTCCTCAGGGCTTAGTGTTTGGACCGATACTCTTTGTTGTATAAATGCTTCCACTATGTAAAGATTTTAAACAGAAAGGGATAAATCAGGGGAGCCCACACTTTCTCAGCATGCGAGCTGCTTATAAAATGACAAGGTCAAAGTGATCTACTTACTATAAGGCCCCGTTTACACGAGAACAACCTCTGGAAATGTTCATGTTTTTTCAACGTTTATTGAATCTTTAAAAGAGGTCTCTCTTGTAAATGAGTCCTCGAGGCTCATTGAGACTAACCTGTATAAATAAAGGTTGAATGAATGAAAATTGGGGTTAATAAACAAAAGATGAGCGGTTGTAGTTTCTATTTCAGTCGGGTTGCCAGATAAGAAATTATGATATTTAGTACTGTCGCTTTAAAGTGTTAGTATTTTGACCTAAACTGTAATTTGTGCTGAGTAAAGATAATCTAAGTTGAGGTGTGTGTTGTGTTTGTTTAACACGTGCACAGAAGAGGGGGTAAATAAGACATTTTACATTTATCTGGCAACCCTCGTTGAGCATGTAGCGTCTGCATGATCATAGTTAGTTCAACTTGGATTTTATTAGTTTTGTTCCTAAATGCTGAAAAAGGGTGAGCAGCACAAAAACACTCTGCTCTCTGCCGTTTATTATAACTGCTGTTCGTGCAGAAAAACTTTGAACTGCAGGCGCCTGCAGTGCACGTGCGACTTCACACTTGTGAGCATTTCACACCTCCGTGGGGAGTTCCCCCTGAGGGCTGTTGTCATGTAAATGAACGGTTGAACCGCAGCCTTTGATTTCAGGTCGTGTAAACGGGACCAGACCGGCGGCCCTGTAGAAAAATCAACTAACAAATTTCAGTTTATTTCTTTAATGCCTTGCGATCTACCCAAACTACCTTGGTGATCGACCGGTAGATTGAGATCGACGTGTTGGGCACCCCTGGGATAAATGCTCAATGCTGTGCAGACGATACTCTGATATAGTTATCCATGAAACTTAGATTATATTAAAAACAAAACACCTGCATGGCTCCTAATTTTCTGAGTTTAAACTCAGAGAAGACGGAGGTTGACTTTTCAGCCTTTCATTAATTTGTCTTCCAGTAAAAAAAAAGTTGGTGTTTTCAAACAGGATGCGAGTTACAATAAAAACACCTTCTTCCACCTGAACAGTGTCACTGAAAAGTAGAAACATCTCATCTCAAAACGAGGCAGAAGAACTGCTCCACGCATTTATCACTTTCAGACTGGACCGCTGTAATTCTTTATTATCTGGGTGTCGAAAAACTAAAAATCAAACCTCGAAAATGAAAAACGCTGCTGCGAGAGTTCTCATGAGAGAAGGACAGATCACATCGCTCCAGTTTTCTATCCACTGACTCGCTGTCACGTTGAGGATAAAATTAATTTTGATGTTTCATAGTTTCCTAACAGAGCAATTCACTCTCAGGCTGCAGGTTTACTTGTGGTTCCTAGAGTTTCTAAAAGTAAAATGAGATGTAGAGCTTTCAGTTATCAGGCTCAGCTCTTGTGGAAGCAACAAAGTTACAGTCTGTGAGGCTGACACCTTGTCTACTACTTTTTGATAAATCCTATAGTTAGAGTCGGCTTGGGTTTCCAAAGCTATCCCGTAAGTCGTTAAGCGTTTAAAACGGTTTTTATCTCTTTCGACTGCCTTGGACTCCCAAAAGTGTTTTCCCTCAAGACCAGTTCTGAAGGTGTTCTGGACCTTTTTAATCCACATGTAGTCTGAACACAAGCCATCCTGAGCCGAGCCGTAGGAACCCTTGCTGAACTAATACGAACCCACACAAGCAGTGGAGCGGACATGTTGACGTTTAAAGATAATTTATCAGCGATCCTTGAGAACGTTTAGAAAACGCAGCTCGTTTCAGCTAAACGTTTTATTATACACGGTCGATCAGAATCCTTCTTCACGCGAACGTTTTAACGTTTGTTCCGAATGTTTCTGGACTTGCCATAGTCACCGTGTAACAGGGAGTAAACAACAGCCGGAGCCGCGTTGAGTCCATTTATTTTCACTTAAATAAAGTGGGCGTCGATGTTAAATTCAGTGAAGCTGAGCTGAAAGCTGCAGAAGGCTCCGGATCTTTGTCTGACGAGCTTTTGAATAAAGCGTACGACAAAAAGACTCTTAGAAACCAGACACTTACCAACTGGATTTCCTAATATTCTGCATGTGACGGATTATAAAAGCAATAAAAGTGGACTTGATCCTGGTTCTGAACTGGGGTTATGACTTGGACTTAGCACCGTCCAAACAAACTGAATTAGGACCCGCTTCATAAGAAATAAAGCGATTCTATCTCTGAGACTCTCGTGCTCCTTCTTTGTTCTGTTCTGGTCCGTTCACGTGAAACAGCTGGAAGAAGGAAATCTTGGCTGCACTGCGGTGAGGAACTGGGTTGCATCATTCGGCTGTGAACCCACAGCCCACGCTCATAACTCCCGGCGTGGAGCGTGTAATCTCACCTGGATGAGACACTTGCTGACGTCACTGGCGCAGAGGGCCTTGTTGCAGCCGAAGGTAGGGGACGGTCCTGACAGGAGGAAGAGGAGGAAGAGGAGGGCTGCTGTGGTGGGGAGGATCAGCTGAGCAGGCCTCATCCTGGCAGCTCACACCGGCATCCAACTGAGAAACACCTTACAGCAACAGGAAACACAGTTAAACCCCAAGAAAGGAAAAGTGGAAAACTTGACTCCTGAAAACATTTTTCTCCTCCTGATGGCAGAAAGTTTCTCCTGGCGTCTGAACTTTTAGATCTACAGTAAAAACAAAACCTGGGATTGTCTTGTAAACATCTCGCTGAGAAGAAAAAAAAAATCAAAAAACTGGCCTGCGGACACGTTTCATTCAAAGCCGAGGAGTAGCAACATCTGGCAACATCAGCTCCCCTTCGCCCACTTTGGTTTCACTCCCCAGGAGAACTTTCTCCGCTTTGTTCCCACCCCAGCAGCTCGCTGCGCGTTTGTCCCGCTCCTCAGGAGGGAGCAACATGTGAGGAACAAAAGCTGCCTCGTTTCTTTTTCTCCTTTTTGCGGCTTCCACTTCTAAAAACGAGCCCGTGACGGAGCAGAACCGAAGACTGGAGAAGGTCTGAACTCACCGCGGCGCAGTTCGCTCGTCTTCGAGGAGGAGGACGGAGGCTGATTCCTCTTTGAACTTCTCCAGGATGGTGTCCGTGTCCACTGGGTCCACGGGGCGTCAGTCTCTCCGCAGCACAAAGCGACAGGCAGTCGGGCGCCTTAAAGGCACACGGTCCATTTTCCACCGCTCCTTTTCCTCAGGACCCAGAAAAACCTGAACCCGAACTCCGAGGGGGGGAGGGGGGGTGTTCACTGAGTGGTCCGCCTCCCTGCAGCAGAAAAAAAAAAAGTCCCAAGAAAAGGAGGTGCGTGCGTAAAAAGCGCTGCGTAAAAACCTCTCCAAACACGTGAGTTGGACGCTGGGTTCTTGTCGAACCCCCCCTCCCAGATTAAAGAACCCTTTGTCTGGTTCTTATCTGCGGGCTGGGTGAGAAAGGGCCCCTCCGAGCTGTGAAGCTGAGCGGCTCCCCGCTGAGGAGCGACCCGGGGCTCTGAGGGGCCACTTCCAGCTCCGCGGGGGTCCAGAGGAGGGGCCACAACAAACACACTGCGGGCAGGAAAAGGCAGATTATTAATCTGGTTCTTCAGATTCAGAGAGAGGAAGTGAGGATGGAAACTGTTTCATATTTACAGATTAGGATTATCCTTTTGGTTTAAAATTAATCTGCAGAACGTTCATGTTCTGTCAACCTGCAGCTGAGGTTTGACTGCTGGACCACTGAGCTGTTCAGTAAAAACTAGCTGAACAGAAGCTTAAACAATTAAAAAGTATCTGAAAGTTACAAATGCGTAAAATAAAACTAAAGTCTTAAATTAGCAAAAGAGTATCTAAAAGTTTAAATCATCTTAATTGTACCTAAATGCCAAATTTAGCGCATTTGTATCTAAAAGCTAAAACGTGTTGAACTCCTAAAAGCTAAAATCAGCTAAAAATATATGTAAGCTAAAATTAACAAATGCTAAAATGGGTTAAATATTTCCTAAAAGCTAAAATTAGCTAAGAAGTAACTAAAAACAATTTAAAATTGTGTCTAAAACTAAAAAGGCATAAAATGACTAATATCTTAAATGAGAAAAACAATACCTTTTAAACTAGTTAGCACAATCATACCTAAAAGCTAAAATCAGCTAGATTATACCTTAAAGCTAAAATTAGCAAACCTGTATCTAAAAGTTAAAATTGGTAAAAATTCCTAAAAGCTAAAAGTAGCACAATATCTAAAATCAGCTAAAAAGTACATAAAAGCTAAACTTGGCAAACCTGTATCTAAAAGGTAAAATGGGTAAAACTAAGCTAAAATGAGCTAAAAGAGTAACTAAAAACTAAAATGATTAAAAGTGTCTAAAAGCTAACAATGCATTAAAATAAAGACAAAGCTTGAACTTGCAAAATAATAACTAAAAGCTAAAACTGTGACAATAAAAACTAAAAGCTAAAATGAGCAAAATAGTACCTAAAAGCTAAAATCAGCTAAATTGTACCCAAAAGCTAAATTTCAGGCAGGAATCCCCATGGACTGATGTTTGCATTTGACATTATGATCTGTGGTGAGAACAGGTGGAAGAGAACTTGGAGAGGTGGAGGTATGCACTTGAAAGAAGAGGAATGAAAGTCAGCCGTAGTAAGACAGAGTACGTGTGTGAATGAGAGGGAGACAGGTGGAACAGTGAGGCTACAAGGAGCAGAGGTCACAAAGGCGCAGGACTTCAAGTACTTGAAGTTCACGGTCCAGGAAAATGGGGCGTGTGGTAAAGAAGTGACGAGAGTCCAGGCAGGATGGAGACAAAGGGTGTCAGCAAAGGTCAAAGGAAAAGTTTACAAGACAGTGAGACCAGCTATGTTGTATGTTCTGGAGACAGAGACATGGACAAAAAGACAGAAGACAGATCTGGAAGTGGCAGAAATGAATATGCTGAAGTTCTCCTTAGGAGGAGTGGGTATACTGGTAGAAGGACGAAATGCAGCTGCCATGAAAAAGACAAAGAGAAGATGCATGGATGCAGTTAGAGAACATGGAGGTAGTTGGAGTGAGGACAGAGAGAGATGGAGGAGGACTCACTGTGGAGACCCCTGAAGAGGGAAAAGCCAAAAGAAGAAGTTAATGTTTCAAACAGCCAATACTTTTTCTATTTTAAATTAAATTTCTGCTCCATTTAATGCCCACAAAGGTCAATGCTGTATTTAGATTTTTCCTGCCAACAGCGACACCTACTGGTGTAGAAGAAAACTGCACTGGAAGAAAAGTTCAAATCAATCACCAGACAACAAAAGTAGTTTCACAACAAATAAAATTTATTCAATTATATATTACAAATATGTACATGTCATGTAACAAGTAAATATTAAAATAGACATTTTTTTTAGAACTATCGTTCAAAAGGCATTATGTTGAAAAAATAGGATTTGTTGTGATCTCACATTGAAACTGTAAAAGTTTTTTTTATTTATTTTTTTATTTTCTTGGAAGCAACAGACTTTAATGTGCGCGAGACACAATGAGCAACACACGAGGAGTGAGGCGGAGAAAAGAGACACGATGTCGGGGAGGAAAATAAAAATTAAAAAAAGCGCTGAAACGCGTCAGAAAACGTCACGATTAAGTTCCACATTTACAGCCTTGAAGGGGAGGAAGTACGAACATGCAGAGCGTTAAACGGCCGAAGTCAAACCCTCCGGCTGCGGCGCGAAGCTCCGGGCGAGGGAGGAGGAGTCGGCCAAAGAAAAAAATAAACAACAACGAGAACGCCACGAACGAAGAGGACACGCGATATAAAAAACAACAACTTTGGTCCATTTAAACAGACGACAAGTTTACAATCAAAATATCTATTTTTGTTTTTTACAGGTTTAAAATAATTACAGAACTATTTACAAAATGCACATTTTTAATGTATAAAATAAGTTAAAAAATTAAGAGCACGGCCTGTACACAACGTATGAACACTCTGAAAACGTTTGAAACCTGTCAGCTGTGTGACCCTGCGTGAGGAGCGGCGGCTCCGACCCGCACGGACTCATCCGGTTCTTGGACTCATCCGGTTCTTGGACGCCGTTTTCCTGCTCAGTCCTCCTCCTGGAGGAGCTCCGGTGTACGACGGTCTCGTATTTAAGTGCTCCTTCGTGCCGGCGCTGCAGTCTAAGTGCTTCGTTTTATCCTCCCCATCCTTCGGCTCATATCGGCGTGAGGTCGAAGTCGTCGTTGACCTCCACCAGCGGGATGTAGAACTCGGGGATCTCGAAGATGCTGGTGGACTTGTAGGTGGCCGGGTCCAGCTCCTGCAGTTTGAGCTGCCACTCCAGACGCTGCACGGCGTTCAGAGCCGCCGCCTCGTGCTGCTGCCTCATCAGGAGACATGTCTGAGGAGGGACAGGGACAGGACGTCACTTCAACTGGCTGCTCGTGAAAAACATCTAATCTGCAGGGATTAACAGTCAGGTCTGGTTCTGCAGGACGGCAGCGAGTCAAACTTTGGAGACGTTTCTATATTTTAGTCTCGGACACAGCTGGAAAATGATGCATTCAGGGCCCCTACGCCCGGACATTCTAAACGTTTAGTCCGAGTCTAAATGTTCGTACGGAAGTGTAGTTTGATTAAAACAGGACTTCTAACAGTGAGAATGTTTATGACGCATAACGTTTATTTAATTATATTACAAATATGTTCAGGTTTACACATTTATGAAGCGTTCACTCTACTGTGAGACATTTTTCTTCCGTACATTTTTCAGCATCTTTCTCGTTCCCAAATTTTTGTGCTATTTCAACAAAACGTTCAGCTCGTTCAGGACAATCCTGCTGGTGTTGGTGCAACTTTAGCTTTTTGAAATACTTAACCTTTTCTGCCATTTTCTTTCCTCGAAGAAAAAGAATTGAGCTCATTTTACATCTTTCAAACCTTTAGATCTGTTTACAACCTTTTACTGCTCCTTTCACATTTTGTTCTGCTTCAGCTCCTTTCAGCTTCCTTGTGCAAATTTAAGCTTTTTCCAGCTAATTTCAGCTGCTTTTCAGCCGTTTTGTGCTCTTTTCAGATTCTTTCTGCTATCTAAAACATTTTTGTGCTTCTTCTAACTTCTTTCTGCTAATTTCAACTTGTTGTGCTCCTTTCAGCTTATTTATGCAAGTTTCAGTTTTTTTCTGCTATTTCAGCTGCTTTATGCTAACTTTAGCTTTTCCAGCTAATGCCACATTTTTTTTTGCATTTATTTCAACCTTCTTTCAGCCCAATTCAGCAAAAATGTGCTCTTTCCACTTCCTTCTGGTAATTTAAACTTGTTTCTGCTTTTTTTTTTTTAGCTACTATTTAGTTGATTTTGAAAATTTCTGCTTTTTTGAATATATTACCACTTTTTTGTGCTCATCTCTGGCTCCTTAGATAAATTACCTGATTTTTATGTATGTGAATGTTTCTGTTCAGTGCTCTGAGACGACTCCTGTTGTGAGTTGGCGCTACTTAAATAAATTGAATCGAAACATTTTATTTATGCTTCTTTCAGCCTAATTGGGCAAACATGTCTTCTTTCTTCTGATATTTTAACCTTGATCTACCTTTTTAGCTATGTTTATGGCATTTTCTAGCTAACTTTAGCCGTTTTCAGAAAAATTCCAAGTTTTTTTTGTGGTAATTTTTGCTACTTTCAGCCCAATTAACTTATTTCTGCTAGTTTCAGCTTTTTCTACTATTTCAGCTACCATTTAACTGATTTGTGCCAAATTTAGTTTTTTCAGCTAAATCCACATTAGGTAATTTCAGTTCTTGCCACTTCTTTCTTGTAGCTTAAACTTCTTTCTGCCTTTTCAGCTACGTTTCAGCAACTTTTTGCTAATTTCAGCTTTTTCAGCCAATTTCCTAATTTTTGTGCTAATTTCTGCTTATTTAAACCTAATTCAGCAAATATGTTCTTTCTGCTTTCTTCTGCTAACTTAGGCTTGTTCTTCCATTTCAGCATGTTTTTCATTAATTTCAGCTGTTTTTCAGCGGGTTCTTCAGCAATAAGCATTCACGCTACATTTTCGAAGGAAATGCGGTTTCTCTAGTTAATTTAAACATATAAACAAACATATAACAGACAGTTTATACAGTACAACAGTTTATAATGTATATAAACTAACAATAAACCTTAGCGCTAGCTTTAAGTCTTCTTCGGCGCGAGCTCCGCAGCTCCTACCTTTAGTTTGTCAAACTTGTCGTCGACGTCCTGTAACCAGGACATGAACTGCCGGGCGTTGAATCGATCTCTTACGGATGTTTTACCGTCGTCGTTCTACAAAACAAAACAAACAAAGATGATGACATATTTAATAAATCGGACTGGGGTGGTTTCGCCTTCAGCCTGCTGCTCCTCACCTGGACGTCCTGAGGCATGTTGTACACCTCTGCGTCCAGCAGGACGGTGCAGGCGCTGAACGGCAGCGTCTGATTGGCCAAGGTCCTCGCTGCCCGGTAGTGAACTCGCAGGACCTCCTGCTCGTTTGAAACGATCAGCTTCTCCTGAAGGAACAAAAATCGCTCCGGTCAGTGCCGTGAACTCGACCCGTCTGCGTGTGAGTGTTTCGAGCGCGTCACTCACCCTCTCGATGCTGTGCTGCAGCCGGAGTTTCATCCGGACGACCTCTTGTTGTTTGAACATTTCCTTCAGCGGCTCCGGTAACGACGGAGGCGGAGTTATCTGCACAGAACGCAAACGCACCGAGTGAGCAACGGCTTCAGCAGCTTCGTTTTTAGCCTCTGAACGAGAGGCGTTCAGGTACAGCTTCGGCTGTGGGTCACCTGCGTTTCTGATGCCGAGAGGAACTCAATAAAGGAGAATTAAATCTGCATTTAGAGTATATTTACGTACAAAATGACGAGTTTTAGACATAAATCATTAAATGTTGAGAAGAGATGGAGTTATTGCAGGTGAAGAAAACTAAACGTGTTTTACACCAAATAAAAATAAATAAATAAAGAAGTAACAAGCAAATAAAAACAACAAACAGGTGAGGAACCAAGGAAACACCAGAGATGTAAAAAAAAAGTGTAAAAATTGAAGAGATTAAGTTTAAAATCTAAAAACTAGTAAAAGCAAAACCACAAGATGCAAGTTAAAATAAAAGTTATAAATAAAATTAATTGCATTTAATAAAAATCCGCTACGAGTCGAGCAGGAAGTGCGATTAAACTACGAAACTTTATGAATAATTCATTTAGCTGAGGATCTAACCCTTGAAATTTTTGCTTTTATCCCTTTGATATCATGAGATCTGTGCGATGTCTTAATGTGTGTTGTGGATGACTCTCAGCTACTACCACGTCAAACGTCAGCTCAGTAAATCTGATCAGTTAGGACATTTTTGTGCTTGCTGGGGCCGATCTGTGCAAACAGAAGCAACACAATCTGCCCGTCGGCGCGTGCAGCAGATGTTTATCATCAGAACTGATAAATGTGCAGATTTTAAAATCTGCTTTTATTTTATTGTGTAAATAAATAAATAAATAAATAAATAAATACTGACAACCTGCAGCTTTAACCTGAACATCAGAGGAGCAGCATTTAATCCAAACACAGCACAGAAAAACAGCAACTTTAACGTGTTATGTCTAAAGTTAATCACTTCCTGTTGCGCGTTGGAGAACAGGAACCCTGAAGGGACAAAGTTCCTGTTTACAGATTTCGGTATTGATCCGATCGGTTCTGCACTTCCATCACTGACTTTAGATTCGAGACTTTAAATGATCGATCATTGCAGCTGCAGGAGTTACACCATCGTGAGTTCAGGGAACAGTTCCTCTCAAACAGTAAACGAGGCGTTCAAAAACAAGTTTGTTTCGTAATTTAAGTGTTTTTCAGCGCGAGGAGGAACTTTGAGTGATTTATAATTTATTTATAGTTGTTCCCAGTTGAACTTGACATTATAAACACTGGCAGGTTGACTGCGGGACAGTGGTTTCCAAAGTTGGTGCAGTGACGTGAATCCACAAATAAAGCTGCTGCCGGCTGAGTACGTTTTGTTCTGTGACCTCCAATGAGTCACGCTGAGTCCAACTTGTGTTTTGTGTATTTATTTTAAAACTGGCACAGTGACTTTTGCCATCCAGCAAACAGCACCTGTATTAATGACTAATTATGTAATGTAATTAATTTACATCGCTGGTAAATATGACTGAAAAATGACAATAAAGACGTCGATCAAAAGGGTGACCATCAACAGAAACTTTTACAAAAAAACACCTACTAACCCCCCACCTGGTGCCATGACTCAGATCAGCTAAGTAATGTGTGACCACACCCTTCATGCAATTACCTGAAGGATAAGAAATCTGAACGCCTGTGCCACCACAACAGTTAAACAACGTAACATTCATTTAGGCTCTTACAGTTGGGGTCGCGACCCCATTGTGGGCCACAAAACATCAGGTTTGGGGTCTTGAGATGATTTCCATAAACAAAATTGAAAACCAACATTTATTTTGCAATGCTAGTCGTTGACATTATGTTCTGGGCCTAAATGTGTTCAAAGACGGGGTCACAAGTTTCTGTTTGTTGTTTTTGAGAACCACGGCCGTAGAGAGGAATTACTGACAGCTAAGAATAAAAACATTCGTCTACAAACAAATCTTTAATGCAAAATCTATTAGCGGTTTTACCTAAAACCAGAATAATTTTCTACCAAAACAGGTCCAAATCAAACCATTAATCCCGAGGCTCAGGTAGATTTTATTGGTCAAAGGTTTGGTCACTCACCGTTGGTATGCAGAGTTTGCTGAGGGGGTTCCCGTCCAGGAGGTAGGATCCATTAAAGGTCACGTATTCGTCGTAATACTGTGGCGGTTGGGGCGTGACGTTGCACAGCACTTTGCGCTTCTCCTCGATCTTCTTGCGTATGTGCAGGAACTCGTAGTACGGGTTGGCTCGCTCCGTCTGGTAGGGCTCGATCTCCTCCAGCTTCACGGAGTCCACGATGGCTGCCAGAGACTGCTGGCACCTCTCCTTCTCCTGCTGAGCCGTGGCGCTCAGCTGGGAGCTCAGCAGCTTGGGCATCTTCCTCTTGCGCGGATGAGGAACGTGGACGTCCGCTTCCTCGTCTGAGGGGCGGAGCTTGAGCTTGGCTCCCGAAGAGTCGGACTCCTGGTCTCCGGACTGAGGAGAGGAACATCCCGAGGTGTTGCTGCTGTCCGTCTGAGCTGCCGGCTGGATGCTAGTTTGACTCTGCTCTTCGGCTGCGGACGAGGACTCGGGTTTCTCGTCGTCTGGCGTGGCCTCCATCGGCTCAGGGTGGAGCTCAGTTTTGTACTCAGAGACACCTTCTGAACTCAGGCTGCCTTCGAGCGGAGAACTCTCGGTTCTGTTGATCTCTGAGCTCTGTGGGACGTCGGTCCTCTCCTCAGCCTTGTGTTCAGGACTCGCACAGGACACATTGTCCTCTGTCTGAGACCCAGGACAAAAGACTGCATCGTCACTGGGGGGCCAGGACTTCTTGCAGTCTGGATAATTTATGATCCCGTCTTCTTCTGAGTCTTTGGACTCAGTTTTAATTAAACTGGGTGATGTCTCTCCTTCAGCAGAGACGGGAATGTGCAAACTGATGGACAGTACCGGACTCCCCGCCCTTTCTGTTCTAAGGTTTTCTGAACCAGTCTCCATGTCCTCTTCTTCTGCTCTGTCGGGGTTTTCCACAGGTTTGTCACTATGGTCAGAATGGTCAGAAACCCCCGACTGGGTCTGCTGCTGGTTCTCGGTACCAGCGGCAGGTGGTACTGGTTCTCTCTGCTGGACGATGTTCGCGTTTGTGAGAGCCGACGGGTCGACTGCTGGAGACGATGCAGACATTAAAGGTTGATCAGACTCTTCTCCAGGTGAGGTCTCCATCAGACACGGAGTGTCTTTTTCAGCAGCTAGATCAGAGACCGGGGGGGACTTCTGCTCTGCTGACCCGGTCTCAGAGGCACCAGACTGTGGGATTTTCAGGTTTACACCTGGAAGATCACAGATTAACGGTTGTGTATCTGTGCCTCCCTCCCTCTCGATCACTAGATCAGCAGCTGAGTTTGATTTCTGTTGACTGCTGAGGTTCTCGTCAGGTTCTGGGGTCTCCTTCGGTTTCAGCTCTTCTCCTGGGGTCGTGGTCAGGCTGGACTTGGACAGATGTTCAGCACCTTTACCCTCAGCTGAAGAGTTGGCGTCCTCGTTCAGAATAGCCCTGAGGTACGGAGATTCGTGCTTGCCCGGGAGCAGCGTCCGGTTAGTTTGGAGAACATCTGGAAGACTGTTGCAATCTTTATCGTGGACAGATGGCGACCTGGCAGCTTGGATGATGAGGGAAGACTGGAGGAAGGCTTGCTGGGAGTCTGAGGCCTCCATGTTCATGTCAGAGTCGTATTCGGTGTTTCTGGGGGTCAGTGTTGAGGCCTGGCAGGAATCCTCGGAGCTGGCTACAGAGACTAGAGACACGGACCTGGACATGAGGCCGCTGCGTTCGCTCTCTGGCCGAGGCGACCTGCTCAGACAGTTTTCCACGGCCGACATGACCTTTGCCCCGATGGTGGGCAGGCTCCTCCCGTCTAGAGACACAGTTCTGGGGCTCATGCCGTCTTTTAGAGATCTCTCTCTGCTTTGGACGTCGGGCGCTTCGGAGCTTCTCGAACGGATCAGTTCCTTGCTCAAACACGGTTCGGACTTTGTTCTGTCTTTAGGCTTGGACTTCCCTGGATCTGTCAGGGGCCGCTGTTTCAGCCTTTCCCGCTCCTTCTGTTTGATCTTCTCCAGATGTTTCCGATGCCACAGCTCGATCTCTTGGTCCTTCATGCTGAGCATACGCTCGAAGCTGGTCTGCATTAGGTCATCGTTGACGAGACGCTTTTCTTTCGGCTTGCCGTCTCGTGCTCCTGCAGAAGCTTTGGATTTGGTCTTTTCTGCGTCGGCCTTGTTGGTTTTCGCCTGCTGGGAGCGGTCTTTGTGCCGCTCCTTGTCCTTGTGCCGATCAGAGTCTCTGTCCCGGTCTCGCCGATCACGATCCTTCTCTGGCGTTCTCGCAACTTCCTCTCTTGATTTCAAAGATAAGACCTTAGTGCTTTCTGACAGATAACTTTTCTTATCTTCTAAAAGTAATTTCAGATTGGAGCTTGAAGAAAGACCTCCATCTTTAATCTTCTCTCTCTTTTTCCTGTCGCAGTCCTTTTCTTTGAAGCGATCAGGCTTGCTGTGATCTGAGGACTTCTCCAGAGGTTTTCCTCTCCGTTCAGCGTTTGAACGATCTCTGTCTCTGTGATCTCCTGCAACATATTCTCTGTCCTGCCTTTCCCTATCAGACCGCTTGTCAAACCTGTCTTTATTTTTCCTGCCATCTTCATGCTTCTTTACGGTGGATAAAGATTTGAGTCTTTCATTCTCTCTAAAGCTTTTATCTCCGGGCGAGACGGAAGAAATGGTTCCTATTTTCTCTTTTTCCTTCCAGCGCTCCACTGAATTCTGTGGCTCAGCTTTGTCAGAGTGCTCCAATTTAATCTTCTTCTCCTTCTCGAGATGCCTTTTCTCCATTTTATCTGAATCCCTCTCTTTTCCTGGAAGCCTCTTGTCAGATTTCTCACGTGAGCCTTTGTCAGAGGGCTCCAGCTGGTCCTGATCAACAGAGATCCCACTTACGGGTTTTTCCTCAGTCTCTTCTTTCACGCTGTTGTTCTGCAGCGCCTCCTCAGGAATCCAGCCTGAGCCGTGACAGTCCACCTTCTCATCACGCTCGCTCGGCTTCGAGTCCCTCACCTTCTCCTCCTTCCCGGCAGCCTCCTTTCGCTCCTTTTTCACAGCCCTTTCTTTCTCCCGCTCCTCTCTCGGCCTTTTCTCTTTGCTGCTGGAGTGCTTCTCTTTCGAGCTCCTCTCATCTTTGACGGGGGAGGAATCTGCCGCCTTCTGGAGCAAGCTGACGTCTTCACCTTCCTTTTTCACTCCCAGAAGTTCATCTGCCTCGTCGCTTTTGAAAAAATTTTCTTTCCAGAACTCCCTGTCAAATTCCAAATTCCTGTGGCCGTCTTTCCTGGCCTCCTTTTGCCTGTGGCGGCTCCGCTCGGCCTCGTACTCCCTCCTGTGTTTATCTTTCTCCTTGTGTTTGAGTTTATGCTTCTTCACTACTTTGCCGTCCAAGTCCGTCTTCTGTAAGGCACCGTCGCTGTCCAGGCTGTTTCCAATGCTGCTGTCTTTGAAGGGGCTCGAATGGCCGTCGTCTCCGTCCACGCCGGAGTCTTTTTGTTGGTGCTTGCTCTTCTCCCTGTGTTTACACCCTTTGGTGCTGGAGCTTTCAGTGCAGTAATCTCCATCAGAGTAGTGGTTGTATTTGTCCACGGGACAAGAGCTGTCAAGGATGGAGATCTTAGTATTTTCCTGTTTGAGCGGAGTCTGTTTATCTGCCGAGCTGTGGTTCAGCTTAGGGGCCTTGATGGACGACAGATGGAAGAGGTGGACAGAGGAGTCATCTTTCGGACTGAAAGACATCTTGAAGGAGTCCTCCTCCCGACCCTTCTCGGTGCTCTCCGACACGGACAGAACTAGAGTTTTGCTGTTCTCTTTCCCGTCCTCCTGGTTTTCCTTGTTTTTGTTCTGACTTTTGCACTTCCTTTTCACTTTACTTTTGTCTTTTTGATCGACGTTGTCCTTTTTCAATCTCCCGTCGGGTTTGTGGCTTTCTGAGCTCTGAGAGCAGGTGGGCGAGTTTCTTTTTTCAGACAGGCTCTCCATTTCGTCGCTGGAGGTGTCAGAGCTGCAGTGGACGCGAGGCGTTTTCTGCTTTTTGGACTTTGACAAAGAGTCAGCCTTGTTCTGCTTCCCTGCCACATGATTCCTGTCTTTGTCCTCCTTTTCTCTCTGCCGCAGCTCCCTCCTGGGAATGTGTCTGTCGTTCAGGGCTTTACTCAGGTCCTCCTCCTCTTCCTCATCCTTAAATTCATACTCGTCCATGCCTGATGTCTTTGTGGCCGCTTTGCCATCTGAGTCTTTTTCAGTATCAGTGTCCTCCATGTTGTCGTCCACACTGGATGGATTGACAGACGAGGGGTCTTCAGATTCTGCAGGGAAGAAAAGAGCGTTTTCATAAAAACAATACAATGTTTTCAAGTAAAAAACAATCTGTCTGTACGAGCCGTTTCAGTAATACAGTAGTCCCTCGCTACATTGCGGTTCGTTTATCGTGGACTCGCTCGATCGCAGTTTTTCAAAATAAGATTGGACATGACACACAATATGCTGATTGATGGATGAGCCGCACGATCGGCATGAAATTTTTATTTAAAATAAATTATTTACAATTATTTAGCACTTGTTGCACCTTTGTGCAACCCATACTGCAGGATAAACTTCCTGCTGCAGCTGATCAGCTGTTCTCCGTGCAAAACGTAGAAGTGGGCGTGGCCAAGAGTGCTTGCAGGTGGCTGAGAGCAGCAGAGGCAGGGGGCTGAAATCATGACATTCTGTGCTCTTTTAGAGCGTTTAGAGTTTAAAAACATTGTTTAGAATAGAGAGGGAAGGATTTAAAACACCTTTATATATATATATATATATACTAAAATAAACTACTACTTACTACTTGTACTACCATTCCTACTTAGCGGTTTTTCACTTATCGCGGGTCTTCAGAGTACGGATCCCCCGCGATAAACAAGGGACTACTGTAATACTAAAGTCAAGATTCAGATCCATCTTGTTAACCGCAAAAAAATCTAGAGCCACTTATATTAAAACATAAGAGCCAACCTGAGGAGGTTTCATCTTGATCCGACATCGGCACCTCGCCTTTAAGAAGCTGTTCCAGCTCCGCTGAGTCCGCCACGTCCACCGGCCGCTCGCCACGCTTGTTTGCTTGGAAGGCATTTCCACCGTGACGAAGCAGAAGTTTCACAATCTGCAGATTAAAAAAACAAATATTAAAATGTATACTGAACATCAGGAAGATTAGGCTCAAACGTATCATTTGAAACTGTGACAAATACTTATCTATAGAGTAGCAAAATTCTAACAAATATTGTGAATACTGTGCGGCTAAATCTTGATTTAACTATTAGCCGTTGACAGTCTGCAGAGGAAAACTTATATTTTTACTTGTAAATAGAAGAAAATAGCATTGTGTGCTGCACATACTTTTTTGATTAACAAATGTAAGAAATTTGTTATTAAAATACAATTAGAGCATGATTATTAAACCTGAAACTTACCTCTTAAAGTTGTAATTAAGTTTTGACTTTATAGATCAGATTTCCATTAGAGTTGTAATGTTTTTCTTTATGTGCACAGACTCATCTTTTATTTATTTATTTTATATTTTCCACTAACGGCTTCACATGCACTCACGGGCCACTTTATTAAGCCCACTTGTTCAATTTCTTGTTAACACAAATATCTAATGAGCCAATCACGAGGCAGCAGCTCAAAGTCTGTGTAGACGAAGACAAGTTGCTGAAGTTCAAATCGGGCATCACAACGTGTGGTGTTAGTTGGAGGTTGTTGGTCTGAGTATTTCACAAACTGCTGATCCACTGGGACTTTTTCACACCGTCTCTCGGTTTTAACGAGAAAGATAAAAAAACCCTCCAGCAGTTGTGTGGACAAGAAAAGCCTTTTTAAAGTCAGAGGAGAAAAAGCAGAAAGGTAGCAGTAGCTCAAATAACGATTTGTTCAACTGAGGCCTGCAGAAAACCATCTCTGAACACAACACGTCCAACCTTGAAACAGTCGGGCTGCAGGAGCAGAAGACCACACCGTGTGCCACTCCTGTCAGCTAAAAACAGGAAACTGAAGCTACACCAAAATTAAACAGTAAAAAAATTTAAAAATCATCGCCTGGTCTGATGATCTCAACTCGATGGACAACAAAGGTCTCCACAGCCATCAGCTCATGATCCGAGTCTAATCAATCATCTTTGGGATGTGGTGGAACGGGTGATTCACATCATAATCTAGTGCTGACAACTCTGCAGAAACTGTGTGACGCCAACATGTCAAGCTGGACCAGAACCTCTGAGGAACGTTTCCAACATCTTGTTGAATTTATGCCACAAAGACAAACAAAAGGGGGTCCGAGCAGGTACTAGCAAAGAGGCCGATGAGTGTATGTCAGACCTGAGGAGATCTTCAGTACGTGTTTTCAGTTTGCAGTGTGCTTCTCGAAGAGATTTATCCCTTACGTCCGTGTGCCCGCTGCTGGAAGCGTCGTGAAGCGGCGTGTCGTCGTCCAGACCTTGTGTGTTCACCTCTGCACCTGCTGCGATTAAAACCTTCGCCACGTCGTAGTAACCGAGATTACAGGCTTCGTGAAGAGGAGTCCAACCTGGTGAGAACAGGAGTAAAAACGTTCACACCTGCAATTTATACGGAGTTCATCCTGCTTTCTCTCCACGTGCACAAGAGTCACTCGTGTGCCGACTGCCTGATATCTCACCAAAGATTTAACCTTTGAATCAGCAGCTGCTTCTCAGCTTCATCTCATTAGAACCAAACAGACTTAATGAAAGCTGTCAACTAATTATCTCCTGCGTCTTTGTACCTGCAAAGTCTTTGACGTTGACGTCAGCTCCCAGGCTAATGAGCTCTTTGACTTGCTTGGCGTCTCCTCGGATCGCCGCCATGTGAAGGGGGGTCTCTCCTCGCTCGTTCCTCTTGTTGACTTTGTCCTTCTGCCGAGACGAGGCGCTGCTGGGGACTTTCTTCTGCACGGGGGTCGTCTGTGAGGGGTGGCTGGGAGTCGAGTCTGGACACAGGCAAAGAGAAAAGACTTAACAGACGGCTGAAGCAAAAGCAAAGGAAGGAACAATAAACAGCTGTTATTGTAGCTGTGGATACATTAATTAATGTGTTTTAGCTGAGGTTAGGAAGCAGATGCTTAACTTACGAGTTTTTTTACCCAAATTGAACAAAGTGTTGCAAATTATAATTGAATAAAATGTACAGAATAATGTCTTTTTTTCAAAGGATAAATCTTTATTGATTCATAGGAGAGTGCCTGGGCAGTAGGAACATCTCCATCATTTAAACTAAGTAAAACAATCTAAAGTTCACCAAGTTCTGCATTGAAGAGCTGTTTTAAATACCAAAACATTTCAGTCGCAGTAGCTTTCGGTTCAGGTGAAACTGGTCATGCAAGAATGATCCTGGTCCAATGTCAGCTGCCCTACCACAGCTGCACGAGGCCACGCTCACGCTACTGCAGCTCTTAATGCTCCAATCCCAAGTTTTGCTGAGATCTTTTTTATTTTATTTTTTTGCGGTTGTTTATGTTACGATTTAAAAACTATGTTCATCAGACTCCAGTGTGAACAGTCTGCAGCTCATCTGTCGCACTCGTTCCATTTAATCTTTACATTTAATCTTTCTGGCAACTCTGGAGCAGAATCCTCTAACATCCTTCTACCAGTATACCCACTGTCCCTCCTCTGAACATGTCCAGATCATCTCAGTCTGGTCTCTCTAACTTTATCTCCCAGTTGTTCAACCTGTGCTGTACCTCTGATGATCTCATTCCTGATCTTATCCATCCTTGTCACTCCTAAGGAGAACCTCAACATCTTCATTTCTGACACTTCCAGTTCTGTCTCCTGTCTTTTTGTCCATGTCTCTGTCTCCAGACCATACAACATAGCTGGTCTGTCTTGTAAACTTTTCCTTTGACCTTTGCTGACACCCTTTTTGTCACAAATCACTCCTGAAACTTTGCTTCATCCACTCCATCCTGCCTGGACTCTCTTCACCTCTTTACCACATTCCCCATGTTCCTGGACAGTGGACCCAAAGTACTTGAACTCCTGCACCTTTGTGACCTCTGCTCCTTGTAGCCTCACTGTTCCACCAGCCTCCCTCTCATTCACACATGTACTCTCTCTTACTACGGCTGACTTTCATTCCTCTTCTTTCAAGTGCACACCTCCACCTCTCCAAGTTCTCTTCCACCTGTTCCCTGTTCTCACCACAGATCACAATGTCATCTGCAAACATCATAGTCCATGGGGATTCCTGCCTGACCTCACCTGTTAGTCAGTCCATCACCAGAGCAAACAAGAAGGGGCTCAGAACCGATCCTTGATGTACTCCCACCTCCACCTTGAAGCTATCCGTCACTCCTACAGCACATCTCACCACTGTCCTGCTGTCCTCATACATGTCCTGTACCAGTCTAAACATACTTCTCTGCCACTCCAGAGTTCCTCATGCAACACCACACCTCCTCCCTCGGCACTCTGTCAGATGCTTTTTCTAAATCCACAAAGACACAATGGAGTTCTTTCTGACCCTCTCTGTACTTGTGGGCGGCCGTGGTGCAGTGGTAGTGGCAGCCGACCTCTGATCGGAAGGTTGGAGGTTCGAATCCCGACTTCCCACACCATGTGCCGTTGTGTCCCTGGGCAAGACACTTAACCCCGAGTTGCTCCCGGTGGGACTGGATGGCGCCTTGCATGGCAGCCTACCGCCACCGGTGTATGAATGTGCGTGTGAATGGGTGGATGGCTGGTACTGTAAAGCGCCTTGGGGCCCCTCATAGGGGGCTGGAAGGCGCTATAGAAGTAAGCTCCATTTACCATTTACCATTTACTTCTCCATCAGCGTCCTCAAAGCAAAGATGGCGTCTGCGGTGCTCTTGACATGAAACCATACTGTTGCTCACAGTCACCTCTCGTCTAAGTCTTGCTTCCACAACTCTCTCCCAGATCTTCATCGTGTGGCTCATGAACTTAATTCCCCTGTAGTTGCTACAACTTTGTTCATGACCTTTGTTCTTAAAAATGGGCACCAGCACACTTCTCCTCCATTCCTCAGGCATTTCCTCACCCTCAAATATGCCATTGAATATTTGAATCAAAAACCTCACTGCCATCTCTCCAAGACATTTCCAAACCTCCACTGGTATGTCATCAGGTCCTACTGCCTTCCCCTTCATTCTTTTCAAAGCTTTCTGGACTTTACCCTCTTTAAACTTTCCCACTTCCTGGTCCACAGTTTCCATGACCTCTACTCTTCTTTCTCTTACATGCGGTGTGAAAGTAGAGCAAGATATTCATATGACTGAGATAATAATACATTTATAACACAGTCATTAAAAGCTTCTGCTCCCAGCAGAGGATTATCAGGAAATCAACATTTTGTTTACACCATTAGCCGGTCCAGTTCACTTTGAGGTTTGACTGGAACAAGGAGGCTGAGTATCGTACAGTCTGTCCATAAGAGTCATTAGACTGAGCAACAAGAGGTAAATCATTTTACTGTGAACCAGACAGTATTTTTTATTTGTATTTATTAAATAAATGACTCACAGCCTATCATAAAGTTCAGACACGATGCTCAGAGGCACGACTCGCTCAGATGTAAACACACTTGAGGATGCGGTGAAGGTTAGACAGTGAATCCACCAACCTGGACTGTTGGCAGTCATCTGCATGAGAAGAGCCATCTGTTTGCGCTCTGACAGCGGATACCCAAATAAAAGGTTTGATGACTGCGACTTTTTGCTCCCGGCCTCTTTCTTCATCTTCTTTTTATCTGGTCCATCTTTATCTGCAACAGAACCAAGAAGGGGGGAAAAAAAGTGATTTCGACAGCAGATGTATTGTCACAGTTTCCTCCTCTTGTATCTGTTGGCCACGCAGAGAAACAGATGACAAGCATGAAGGGAAGGACAAAAACAGACAGCATTCTCTAAGCCAGTCGAGTGCAGAAGGCACTCTTAAAGCCACCCCCAACCCCCCGCAAATGCTGAGCTGTAACGGGGGCAGATGCAAGGCGAGGAAACACACACGTGCATGTGTGCGTGTGTGTTTACAGTGGAGCAGTAGCGCAGAGAGCGTGTGTGACGCGACTCGGAGAGGAGTCAGGGGCTGAGGTTCGGGCTGATGCAGTTACCTGCGTATATCCTGCAGGGAGGCACTAATCTCTCTCCCCAGGTCTCACTCGAATGGCCTGGGTCTGAGTCATCTACAGTGCAAAGCAGAGAGGACGGGAGGAGGGAGGGAGGGAGGAGGGAGGAGAAAGTAGGGAGGGGGTGTGTGAAAGGGTTGGAAAGCACTGCATTAACGCTCACGCTCTCACACCGTCCTCATTCCACATGTAGTCAAATACAGAGAGGCACAGTCGCACTCCACGCCACAGAGGATGAGTCATGTCAACACAGGAGAGGGGAGAGGAGTTCCAGTCAGGCGGTGTCTCACTCCACTCCCTCCTACACCGGACCTGACAAACACTGGGGAAAACAGTGAGAGGCCAAGCCACCCTCAAAGCCCATTAACCTTTAAAACCTCTGCGACACGCTAATTACACTTAAATTAAAGGCTTTCTTCTCGGAACGAAGCAGGACCACACAATGATGATGTTGATCTTCGCTCTACAGAGAAGATCTGACGCTGTCTGTAAACAGGAACTTTATTTATTGTGATTATGGCCACATGACACGCAGACTCATTCTCAGCTCTCATATCTGATGTAAACACACATTTATGCTTTAACTGAATGAGAGGAGCAGAGCAGAGCGGACACAAGTGAGACTGTAGGACTGGAGCAGTTGCAAAGTGAAGATGAGCATTTGAGTTTTATTTATCACTTTTACAGGGGGTGGGGGTAACGTCTATTTTTAGATGCATCACACTGCAGGCACTGAAGATCCTGAATTTATTTTTCAATGTCAAAAATGTATTTTGTTTACTTTAATCTGTGCCTCCACTTTAATGATTGGCAGAGCAGTTTTAGCACCATGACTTTTTCCTCATGGAGTGAAAGCTGTTTTTTTTTTTTAAACATCTTTTTAATATTTTCTTTGCAGAACTCTGAACAATATATGTTTGTAAATAAAAGCTGGAGTTTTTGTAAATGGACTGTGTTTGGTAATGACTCTAAAACGTTTGATTTGTCTATAAATCTCCATTGATGAACTTGAGGCTAACTGTGCTAGCCTTTCTATAGCATTTTCAATGTCAGGTTAGCATCTGTGCTAATTGTTCGTCAGCAAACAGTAATTTATATATATATATAAATTACTGTATATATATATA